ATACTCCAATTAAAGATAGAATATAAAATATCTTAAATTTCACAACCAAAATTCATGTTCTATTATATCATTTATTGAAATAAAATCTAAAAAAAATCTAAATTTTTCTTAAAAAATAATAATTAGTATATAATTACACTATTTATTGAAATAAACAAAAAATCAAACAAAGGTTCTAAGTCATTGATAGTAGAAAATGAATTTTACAATCAAAATTTATAATCTATTATGTCATTTAATGAAATAAAATCAAACATAAAAATCTATTTTTTTTTTAAAAAAAGTATAATTAATATACAATTATACTATCTGTTAGAATAAAACTAAAAAATCAAATAAGGGGTCAAAATATAATGTATATTATATCTTCTAACTTTTAATTAGGGTAATATGGTAGTTTAATTTGGTCATTTAAACGAGCAAATTAAATTTCAAAAATAATATAATTTTATACTAATTATAATTTTTTAAGAAAAAAATAAAATTTTAGTTTTGATTTTATATCAATAAATGTTATAATATAATATGAATTTTGGTTGTAAAATTTAAAATATTTGATATTTTATTTTTAATTAGAATATTTTTGTTATAAGTATAACATTTTAAACTTGAAGTATCTAAGTATTTTATATCTACAAACTTTAAGGGATCTGAGAATAATTTATTAACTTGGATATTGAGGGTGGGAATCTAAGGGTTTCACATGTACAAACATCAGAGAGTCTGTGCATAATTTTTTAAATATTAAAATTTTGAGTGATTAAGTGATAAACTTCAATGTAATCTGTGTGTAATTCTCACTGAAATCAATTTACAAAGAAGACCCAAAAATTTACTTGATTTCTTTAAACCTATATCTCAATAACGGGTTTACAACAATCTTGTCTAAAATAATTTTTAAAATTCATTAAAGTATCAATAATTCATCACCTCAATATGAATATTAATTAAAAAAAAAAAGAATAAATCCCACCTAATAGCAAAATATCACTGCATAATCTCTGCAAAATATCAATCTGAATTTTTTTATAATAAAAATAAATTAATCACTGCATAATCTCTGTCATTGTGAATAGCATATTAAAATTTTATTAAAACCAGACGTTAGATTTTGGCCCGAAAATCCGAATTTGTGAATAATTGTTTAAGTAATGATATGTAACCCAAATTTATATCCTATATTAAGAAGGATCATTAGATTAATGATCCTATCAATTTTTTTAAATAGAACCCACCGATTTGTCTTAAATTTAAATACAAATTTAGAATGTATATCATTACTCTAATTGTTTTTCTTCTCCTCCGTTTCGTCGCCAAGTCGCTGTTCCCGCCGCCTCTTTTATTGCTAGCAAAACCCTTTTCTAAATAAACATGCTGCCAAAGTAGGTTGTTCACGCCTATTTTAGACCATAAAAAAAAACAAAAAAAAAAACAAAATCCTCCTATTTCATGTGGTCCTTAATGGCCCACGTGGCACCACATGCCGTCCGTACAATTATTGATTAGGACCATGATTTATGGATTGAGCTACCACATAGGTTGAACTTAATCCAACATTTTAGTCTGAGTTACGAGTTACAACTCTAAAATATCAGTTATAACTATTTAGGATTAATGTATAATTTTAAAAAAAAAGACAAAAGAACAAGATCAATTTTAAAATATTATGATCAATACTGAAAACCTGCAATATATAATAATTTTGTTAGATTGAATAGTAATCTTATCTTTTTTTTTTTGTATACGTGACAACTGACACTATGGTCTTTCGCAAAATAAAAGAAAAAGTGATAAAAAAAATACAAAAATAATTCTTGGTTAATTTTTATAATTAAAAGAGTGAAAGATTTGGCTTATTCATGTCCAAAAGTGATGTTGTGACAATGAATTGGTTTACCATGCCATCATAGTCTACCAATCCTTGTATTGACTCTCTATATTTGTAAGGGTGAGGTTCCAAAATTCACCTTTTTCACAATAAAAACACTTGTAGGAATGTCTTTAGTCTATATCTAACATTATTGTCATTGTACCCAACTTCAAGCTCTTGGGATGTGTCAAACTCAATGGAAAAGAAGATGATACAACTCTAGGGACCTCTTTTAAGGGTATAATAGAAAACTCCACTCCCAATCCCTGATTTGGGTTTGGAAATTCAGGGATTATGCAAAATAAAAACACCGTAGAGAAAGAGGTAGTATTACTGTTCGGTGAAGGGCCAGATTTTGATTAGTTCCTAAGACTATGGAAATATAATTTTTCGATGTTGTTTTGACAAGGGTACCATTTGCAACCAACAGCCATATTCGTTCAAGAAAATGTGTCTTTTAATTAAGAAACAGGAACTTTCATAAAAATAATAGGTCGAATTAGGTTCGTTCTCAAGTAAAGTAATAGATGCGATCAGGGGTCTGATGATTCTACCAGTAAAAACTCATTAGGATAGTCTCTGAGCGTTTTTTTTTATCCCCACCTTTTTTTTTTCAAAAAAAAAAAAAAAAAGAACTTCCATGAAAGGGTATGTTGGTGACTCTTGGTTGTATTTATATAATGTCTCCAAAAAAAATACAATATCTTCTCTCTCTTCTGTGCTATAAATAGGTGAAATAAACGATTTGTTTTAGTCCACAGTTCTTAGTTTGACTTTGTCCTATAAAAAATTGATAGTCTCACATCACGTGCGTTGCAAGTGTGATATCAACTTTCAACGGCAGCATGAGATTTTAATCTTCGAAGGGAGAATTTGAAAAATTCATAATTTTTTAGGAACAAAGTGTCATTCACCCATTATTCATAGTGCTTAAATTGAGTCTTGCCGTCGCACTTTACACTTTGGAGTCAGCACTTTAGAAATGCTAGAATCTTTAGGACCGAATTCAAGAATGTAAAAACCATCTTTAAATTCATTATTCTTATCAAGTGCAAATTTATCACTCTTAACTACCGGCATACTATAATGAACTTGGTCTTCATTAAGATGTAGAGTTACTCGGTCTCTAATGCTCTTGTTGGATTAGAGCTTTTTTTGCTTCTTTTATTTTAATAAACAGGTACAAGTTCTACAATTCTGAAATATTTTTATCCGTTTGAATTTTTTTTGAATCAGTTGTCATATGATAACTAAAAAACAACAATTTACTTGTACATTTTTCAAAAATTAATGAACAAATTTACTTACCCAAAATAAGAAACACTTCACATGGCGAAAACCAAATGCCTTCAAGTTGTGGTGTACATTTTTATCATATGCATCATATTTTTCACACCCAATAAGTCTAAATCTAAAAAACAACAGCTGCAAAGGTATAACTTAAAGCTACTTACAAGAAATTGAAAGGATAACTTTTTTTATTATTTTTTTTTGAGGGGAGGGAGAAGGAGAAAAGGGAGGAAACTTAAACCCTTGATCTCAAGAAAATAAAGCCTGTACAAGATCAGATATACCATTAAACCAAATGTTCATTGGTAATTAAAAGGATAACTAAGCATGCCGTAATTAACCTATAACAACCTTGCTTCAACATAGTTACCGACCTGTTAGCACTTCAGTGACTGTTACCAATGGTGTAGAATTTTTTGTTTCAGAAACAGAATGTTTCAACCTGGCAACATCAAGCTCCTGCGATGATAGAAGAACATCCATATTTTCAGGCATGGTAGCATGGCCCTTTAAGTATTGCAAAATTTGAGAAATGCTTGGCCTAACTTCTGCCACAGAATGTGAACAAAGTAATCCAACCTTTAACACCAATTGCATCTCTTCCACATCAAACTCATTCTTCAGTTTGGGATCTGCTGTCTTCAAAAGTTTCCCTCTTCTCCAACAGTCCAGTACCCAATCCACAAGAATCACCACTTCAGATGGTGCCTTTGATTCGACTGGCCTCCTTCCACAAGCAACTTCTAAGCAAAACGTACCAAATGCAAACATATCAGTGCTTGTAGTTGCCTTGCCATGTTTAGTAAGCTCCGGTGCAATGTAGCCCAATGTGCCAGCTATATGAGTTGTATGAGAGTCCTTTCCGCGGTGGCTACATCTCGCCAGCCCAAAATCTCCCAATCTTCCATTGAAGTCTCCATCCAACAACACATTGCTGGCCTTGATGTCTCTGTGAATAATTACTTCCACCCATTCTTCATGCAAGTAGGAAAGTCCAGATGCAACATCCTTGATGATTTTGAATCTTTGGTTCCAATTAAGAGTTGCCTCTGTTTTGTTGAAGAGAAACTTGTCAAGACTACCATTAGGCATGTAATCATAGACTAAACAGAGCTCACCTTTTCGTCGGGAATAGCCAAGTAGTCGCACCAAGTTGGGGTGTCGCAGCCTCCCAATTGTAGCAATCTCTGCTACAAACTCTCTCATTCCTTGCCTTGAATCATGTGAGATTCTCTTCACCCCAACTTCCATATTTGAAACGGGTAGGACGCCTCTATACACCTGACCAAATCCTCCTCTTCCCAGAAGCTCATTTTCTCTAAAGCCTTTGGTGGCTACAAAAAGGTCCTTGTACAAAAACCTGTGAGGCCCATATTGAACCTCCCAATCTTCAAGTATTTCAGTCAATTTAACTTTTCTTCTGATCTTCAAGTAAAAAATGGCAAAGATTGTGAGTGACAACAAGAATACTCCTAAAAAGGAATATCCAAATGCCAAAATCACCTTCCTCTTTTTGGACTTTTTTCCAAGTGGTATAGCCGGAAGTCGGGAAAGATCAAGTTCCGAGGCTTTTCCATTCAACTGAAAACTCCAACCACGAACATACTGCGACTGATTTGCACCAACGACTGCAATAAATCCCACAAACATTTCGTCTAAAAACACTGGCGAAAGATCAATGGTTACAGTCAAGAGTGGAAGATCAGGCTTATTTAGGTTCAAAGGAGATATAGTGACATTGAGTTGATTTACCATGCCATCATAGTCCACCCATGCCTGTATTGGCTCTCCACTTGCAAGGGTGAGGGTCTTGAATTCACCATTTTTAGCAAAATAACCTGCAGGAGTGGAATTAGTTGATCTGATGCTGTTGAGATTAAGTCCAACATGATTGTCATTGATATCTCCAACATCTAACTCTTGGGATGTGTCAAATTCGATGGCGAAGCCATGATTTTTTGGGTCTCCGTCCTGAGTTTCATTGATCAAGCCATAAAGTTTGGATGTTACAATTCCAGGAACCACTTTTGAGGGTATAATCGAAAACGATAGTCCAAATCCGCGATTTGGGGTTCGAAATTCAGGAACAATGCTGAATACAAACACAGTGGAGAAAGATGAGGCATTACCTTTGGAGGAATTCTTGAAGCTCAGGGGAACTGAGTAGAGAACAGGAACCACACCCCAAGTTGTTTGGTTAGCATGCTTTAAAAGACCATCAGGTGATATCTCTGATACTTCACCTAGTTTCAGGATTTCATAGAAGGTGAAGCCATCATCACAGTTCACCACTTTGATCAGAAGACAAAGCAACAAGTAACCCAGAGTAAACATGAATGAAAATTTTGATTCTTTCTATGCTTGTTGACAAGTATTATAGGTCTTTTGCGGGGCCAGTCCGACGGTATGGAAAAAAAAAAATTGGTTTTAGACACCATCGGTCTATAAAAAATATTAAATTTATTAAAAAATAAAAAAATATTTAAAAATTAACTCATATTTACACCTACCTACTCACTCTTTATCTCTCTTTCTCTCTGATAAAAAAAATAAAAAACAAAAATGAAAGTTGAAATTAAACCCCCTCTCCATCTCTATTGTAAAAAACAAAACAAAAATTAAAATTTCTTTCTCGATAATATTAACATTTTTTTGTCGCCCTCTCACGTGAAAAATTAAAAATAAATTAATTTTTTTTAAAAAAATAATACTAAAAATAAAAAAAATTCCATTTAATATTTTCGCTTTAAATTTTAAATTTGCTTGAGCCGCCGCTGATCTTTTGTGACCTCTTAGTCAATGGATCCACTATTTAGGTGCAGGAAAAAGTCCCTTAGAGACGAGAGCATTAAAGGGGTTGAAAATGTCTTCAACAATAAAAGTTGAACCCTTGACCATTCTCAAAGGTGGGCAAACTGGAATGAATGATAGTTCTCATTCAGTAACTCTACCATATTGAAAAGTTGTTTTTTTTTTTATTTATTGTTATATTGAAATTACTGCAAAATAAGGATTAGGTTAAGACTTAAATCGGTTACTATAAAATGAGATTGCTTGAGAATGATTCCGAACATCTTAAGATTGATACCAATGTTTTTCGAGTCATGAACTTGATGCCATGAACTTGTAACATTTTTTATTCATAACACGGTCTCATTTATTTGTGAATTTTGATATGTTATTGAACTTGGTACCATAGCCATGGCTGTCTATATCCTGCCTACCAGTCAATACAAATGGTTGACAATGTCTTTGGGGACACCTCTATCTTTCTATGACATGCTTGACAAGGAGTTGGGTGGACTGTAATTACCCAATTTGCCTACCTTAGGGAAGAGGCACCATTAAAGCACCCCAACTCCTTTAGTCAACCCAACTTACAGTAAAGATTTGTTATAGTCCACACTTAATAAAATAACCACGTTTGGCAATCAGGATCAAAAGCAAACAATGGGTGAATGACACTTTGTTCCTAAAAAATTATGAAATTTTCAAATTGTCCCTTCAAAGATTAAAATCGCACGTTGTCGCTAATTTTGTAATTGGATATCACACTCGCAATGCACGTGATATGCTGTCATCAATACTCAAATTTAAATCATTCATGTTCCAAAAACAAATTTAAAATCTTTTAGAAGACAAAGTGCCATTGACCCTAAAATAATCTCTGCTCTGTGGCTGTAAAGTCCATATTGAATAGGGACCAAAATCTTATTCATTTGATAGGCTTGAATTATGTGATACCTCAATATAATGGAATGACAGTAATGTAAATATGTAAATACCTCAATATAGCAAAACTTGAGAAATGTTTGGCCTAACTGCTGCCACAGAATGTGAACAAAGTAATCCAACCTTTAATACCAATAGCATCTCCTCCACCTCAAACTCATTCTTTAGTTTGGGATCTACTGTCTTCAAAATTTTTCCTCTTCTCAAACGATCCAGTACCCAGTCTACTAGAACAACCTCTTCAGATGGTGCCTTTGACTCGACTGGCCTCCTTCTGCAAGCAACCTCTAAGCAAAATGATCCAAATGCAAACATATCAGTGCTAGTAGTTGCCTTGCCATTTCTAGTAAGCTCAGGTGCAATGTGGTCCAATGTGCCAGCTAAATGAGTTGTATGAGAGTCCTTTCCGCAGTGGCTGCATCTTGCCAGCCCAAAATCTCCCAATCTTCCATTAAAGTCTCCATCCAACAACACATTGCTGGCCTTGATGTCTCTGTGAATAATTACTTCCACCCAGTCTTCATGCAAGTAGGAAAGTCCAGAGGCCACATCCTTGATGATTTTGAATCTTTGGTTCCAATTAAGAGTTGCATGTGTCTGGTTTAAGAAAACCTTATCAAGACTGCCATTGGGCATGAAATCATAGACTAAAAAGAGCTCAACTTTTTGTCAACAATAGCCAAGGAGTCGCACCAAGTTGGGGTGTCGCAGCCTCCCAATCGTAGCAATCTCTGCGACAAACTCTCTCATGCCTTACCTTGAATCATGTGAGATTCTCTTTACTCCAACTTGCATATTTGAAATGGGTTGGACGCCTCTATGCACCTGACCAAATCCTCCTCTTTCCAGAAGCTCATTTTCTCTGAAGCCTTTGGTGGCTACAAAAAGGTCCATATACAAAAACCTGTGAGGCCCACATTGAACCTCCCAATCTTCGAGTATTTCAGTCGATTTAACTTTTCTTCTAATGATCAAGAAAGAAATGGCAAATATTGTGAGTGACAACAAGAATACTCCTAAAAAGGAATATCCAAATGCCAAAATGATCTCTCTTTTTGGACTTTTTTCCTAGTGGTATAGTTGGAAGTCGGGAAAGATCAAGTTCCGAGGCTTTTCCATTCAACTTAAAACTCAATGTTCCGAGGATTTTCCATTCAACTTAAAACTCAATGCGATATAAAATGGTATAAATTTAGCGTCATACCAAAATTTACGTATAAATAGCGGTTACTTATAAAGACTTTTAACACTCAATGTTCAAAACTCTGGAGTACAAAAGTTCAAAACACAAAGATAAGATTATTGATTCATGGGATAATGACAATCAGTAGATAACACTGTACAAGAGCTGTACCAAAGTGGTTAGTAGATATCAATCTTTGCTAGATGATCTGTTTGCTCTGTTTGGGGTTATCTACATTAGCAACTTCCACCTCATTTGGGTCAAGTTACAGCTCTTGAAAAAAAAAAATCAATCCTAAGTATTTTGATCGATCCGGAAAATCCCATTCTGCAAATAACCTTGTCAGATTGTAACCATCTTTTATTTTGTATACCTGTTTGACACTGTAGTCTTACCCCAAAATGGAAGGAAAGTGTTAAAAATGCACAAAAGTAATCCTTGATCAGTTTAGTCATCCCAGTCCTGCCCTTTATTTTACAACTTATTTAATCATCCCAACTCTCTGTCAAAGTTTTACTTAGATACATCACAGATGGTCTTCTTGTGCTAGATTTTAAATAGATTGTGACATAAACTGGAGGATAAGACAATGGTACCAAGTTCAGTAACATACCAATATTTACATATAAATAGTGGTCACTTATACACCTCATTTTAGTCAAGTTACAACTTCAAAATACCATTTATGACTATTTGGGGTCAAGTTACAACTCAAGGAAAAAAAAAAGGATTGATCCTAACAATGTTACGATCGATCCCGAAAATCCCATTCTGCTATAACCTCGCCAGATTGCATCATTACCTTTTATTTGTATAATTGTTCGGCACCGTAGTCTTACCCCAATAGCACAAAAATAATCCTTGAAAAGAATAAGACAAGTTTATATATTTAAAATTCGTGAACAGCAGGAACTGGACCAAGGTTGGCTGGAACCTTGGATGAAGCATGGGACGAACCTACGATGGACTGAAACATATTCCTTGGAAGCAGTTTTGATAGTTAGAGAAAGCAAAGATTCACTGGTTTTGTGTTTTAAAGGGTACAATTTGAAATCAACAAGTCAATATTCCTTAAAAGACAATATACCTTTTGATTAACAGGACAGCACAATGCTTGGCCTATCGTAAATAATAAGTATTCATCATCTAGCCAAGAACAGGCAATCTATAATATACAGCTTGGTGAAGTTTTCATCGCGATCAACGGCCTGTAAACACTTTCAGTGATTGTAAGAAAGGGTGTAGAACTTTTTGTTTCAGAAACAGAATGTTTTAACATGACAGCATTCAGCTCCTGAATCGAAAGAAGACCGTCCAAATTTTCGGGTATTGAAGTGTGGCCATTCAAGTATTGCAGAACTTGAGATATGATTGGCCTAGCTGTTGCCACAGGATGTGAACAAAGTAATCCAACCTTCAAGACCAATTCCATTTCCTTCACCTCGAATTCACCCTTTAATTTGGGATCCGCAGTCTTCAAAATTTCCCCTTTCCTCCAACAATCCAGTACCCATTCCACAAGTACCACCTCTTCAGAAGGTGCCTTTGACTTGACTGGCCTCCTACCACAAGCAACCTCTAAGCAAAATGCACCAAAGGCGAAAATATCAGTGCTTGTGGTTGCCTTGCCATGTCTAGTAAGTTCAGGTGCAATAATGTGCCGGCTAAATGAGTTGTTTTAGGATCCTTTCCATTGAATTCTCCATCCAACAGTACATTGTTGGCTTTGATATCTCTGTGAACAATTACTTCCAACCATTAATCATGCAAGTATGAAAGTCCAGGAGCCACATCCTTAATAATCTTGAATCTTTGATTCCAATTAAAGTGGCCTCTGTCTTGTTGAAGATGAACTTGTCAAGACTGCCATTCGGCATTGATGATACCTCAAATAAGCCATCAGAGCGAGCTCGAAAAACAAGGCCAGGTCAGTAGGTCTGATAGAATACTAGGAGCTTAGAAGTCCGGGGCCAGAGCTCCCCTTGGGGAGATTATAGCGAGACAAACCAGGGAACAACTGGATAACCGCAAAAACTGGGTTCAAGACATAAAACTCTCAATCAACCAAGATTCTCTCCTAAAATCAAGGAGAATCCCACTAATGGCTGGCAGAGATCTCGGCTGAGATCTGACAGAATGGGGAATAGTCCTATAAATACTACGTAACGCCTCCATAGAGGGGAGAGGAAAAACAAACCCTAATTTCAAGATATACCGAATTGTAATACATTAGAGCGGTGAATAGAAGAGAGGAAACAAGAGCCTCTATTAAAGAGGTGGACTAGCCGAGCTCCTGAGCTGGTAAACCACTATATTTTCACTGTGTGCACCCCTCAAATCCTCTCAGCACTACATTCCAGCATCACACACGAGCCTTGTAGCTCTGATCCACGATCATCACACGTCACCTGCACTTTTTGCTCACCCATGTTGATTCACACCATTAGTTTGGCGTCGATTGTGGGAAACGATTGTTCCTGTTACAAATACGCTAATCTTTCAGTGACTGATGATTTCAACCCGTAACATGAGTAGAAGCCAGACCAATCTACTATGAATACAAGAATAATAGGAAGCCGCCAACGATAGACAGCCTGAAAGCATCCTAGGGGCGAATCCCCAAATGGGGATTTCTCACTCAAATAATGAGTTGGAGGCTCTTCGTCTAGTTAATCAATGTCTGATATAGCAGAATGAAGAGCTCTTGAAGCTTTTGCAACACCTTGGGGAGGCACAACCGGCCCAAGAAGGCTAGAATAACTCCCTTCAAGGAGGGTAACAACATCTCGACCCCCTCAGAGAAGTTAGTGAAGGAGGGGAAAATAGTTAGACCTGGGGCCAAGGTCCTCATCCACCCCCAAGGAATGGGTGCAACGAAGAGGTGCAAAGTCAAAACGTAGGGGAAGAAAAGAATAATTTTTTCCCTTATCAACGGGAGAGGAGAGAGCAGTATTGGGAGCAGTGCTTCAATGGTATCCAACAAGAGCTCAGCCATATGAAGAAAGCCATGAAGAACAAGGTTCCAGTCACAATGGATGCCCTGGTACAACAAACTGAGTCGTCATTCTCTATAGAGGTGTTGCATTTTTCCCTCCTCCCAAACTTCAAAGTGCCGCAGATAGAAGCTTTTGATGGGAAAAAGGACCCCATGGACCACCTAAATACTTATAAAAACCAGATGGAGCTCCATGGATATCAAGATCTAGTGCGCTGTAGAGCCTTTGCCATCACGTTAAAAGGGTCAGCCTTGGCATGGTTCAATAGGCTCCCCCGGCCTCAATCTCCTCCTTTAAAGAGCTGTCTATATCCTTCGTGTCTCACTTCATAGGGGCTCGGATATACCGAAAGCCGAGCTACCACATATTGAACGTGAAACAGGGACCCCAAGAGAACCTTAGGTCTTATGTCCAGCAGTTTAACTCGGAATCACTGAAAGTGGATGTCCTAGATGAGAAGTTCGCCATTACAGCCTTTATAGCTGGTCTAGGCGTACAGTCCAAAGATCTGATGTTCTCTATTTCAAAGAACCCTCAGGCAAGTATGGCTAAGGTGTTGGCTAAGGCAGAAAAATACATAAACGGTGAAGAGGCCCTTCTCTCAAAAGTGGAAAGTTCATCTGCGCAAAAAGACAAAGGGAAAGAGGAAAGAAAAAGGGACCGAAGTCCTAGAAGAGAAAGAGGGCATGATAGGTCTCCAAGAAGGGACAGAGATCGCTCCCCTAAAAGAAGGGGAGATGTCAGAGATCGCTCCCCTAAAAGGAGGAGAGATGTCAGAGATCGCTTAGGTCCACCACGGCTAGAGCTACAGCTAAGGTACGCACCTCGATAGCTCCCCCCACTCACCGCAATGATATCTCAGATCTTATATGAGGTGCAAAGCGAGAAGTTTCTAAGATAGCCACCTTGAATGAAAACAAACCCAACAAAGAGGGATCCCACAAAGTATTGCGAATACCATAGAGATCATGGCCACCACACTGATGATTGCATCCAATTGAAGAAAGAGATTGAATTCCTAATCCAGAAGGGTCAGTTACGCCATTATGTAGCTCGGGATAATCAGGACTGAGCCCTCTACCTCTACCACCTCAGCAACAAGCTCCTGCGTTACACCAACAACCCCTAGGCAAAATCAGAGTAATTTCTGGTGGGTTCGCAGGGGGGTGGGGAGTCCAGTTCTTCCCAAAGGGCACACCTGCGTAGAATCAAAGCTGGCGAAGCGTTGGAAATACACACAGTGTCCAAGGCGCCTCAGCTAAACATGGCTATCACCTTTTCGGACTCAGATTTAGAAGGTTATCAGCACCCCCATGATGATTCACTAGTGGTCAGAGCTGTTGTGGCTAATAGAACTGTTTACTGAGTTTTAATTGACAACGGGAGCTCAACAGATATCATATTCGCTTCTGCGTTTGAAAAAATGGATATAGGTCGGGAAAAGTTGGATTCGGTTAGTGCTCACCTATTGGGTTTGCAGGAGAAAGGGTTTTGCCCCTGGGCTCAATTTAACTAGTCCTCATCATGGGAGATCCTCCCTGCTAGACCATCACCACAGTAAGATTCCTAGTTATGGATGCCTCGTCTGCATATAATATGCTTCTCGGGAGGCCCTCCCTCAATGCAATGAAGGCAATTCCCTCTGCCTATCACTTGGTTATGAAATTTTCTACGAAAAATAGAGTTGGAGTGGTTCGAGGAGACTAGTGGGTAGTGAGGGAGTGTTACATGACCTCGATGAAACAGAAGGAAGTTGAGAATGTCCAGCTGGATGAGCTAGATATGAGGGACGAACTGGATACTAGACCAACACCATCAGAGGAGCTAGAGCCCGTCCAACTCGATGAGGAGCCTGAGCATCTTGTTTACGTCAGGTCTAAGCTAAGCCAAGAAATAAAAGACCTCCTCATCCAATTCCTAAAGGAGAATAGGGGAATATTCGCCTAGAAGCAAGAAGACAAGGAAGGAATCGACCCCTTGAATCCCACCTGCCGGGTGGTCAGGCAAAAATGAAGGAGTTTTGCCCAGAACGCCAGAAGGTAATCAATTAGGAGGTTAGTAAACTCCTCCATGCCAAAGCCATTAGGGAAGTTAACTACCCTATCTGGCTGGCTAATGTGGTTCTTGTCAAGAAAACCAACGACAAATGGCGAATGTGTATTGACTTCACTGATCTCAACCGAACATGCCCCAAGGATAGCTTTCCTTTACCACAGATAGATCTAATAGTAGATGCCACAGCTAGACATGAACTTCTCAGTTTCATGGACGCTTTCTCAGGATATAATCAAATCAGAATGGATCCAGCCAACCAAGAGAAAACCTCATTTATAACCAAGTAGGGAACATACTATTACCAGGTCATGCTTTTTGGGCTGAAAAATGCAGCAGCCACCTACCAGCGCCTAGTGAATCAGATGTTCCAAGGTTAAATTGGAACATCTATGGAGGTATATATCGACGATATGCTGGTGAAGTCACTGAAGGCAGAACTCCATATTACACATCTAGCAGAATCATTCCAAGATAAAACTCAATCTTGCAAAAGTGTTCCTTCGGAGTATCTACAGGAAAATTTTTGGGTTTCATAGTCAACAGTAGGGAATCGAGACCAACCCAGAAAAGGTTAAGGTAGTCTTGGATATGCAACCACCTTCTAATGTAAAGGAGATCCAGTGCTTGACAGGAAGAATAGTTGTCTTAAGTCATTTCATCTCTAGATCAAGTGAAAAATGCCGCATTTTCTTCCAAATCTTAAAAAAGGCATTTTTATGGGATGCTCGATGTGAAGAGGCATTCAAAGCCTTGAAGGCTTACCTGAGCTCCCCTCCTATCTTGGTAAGTCCCTTACAGGGGGAGGTACTAACCCTCTATCTAGCTGTTTCAGATTTCTTAATTAGTACAGCTCTGGTGAGAGAGCGGGACAGGTCCCAGCAACCAGTCTACTATTGCAGTAGAGCTCTGAGGGGGGGCGAAAAGAGATATCCAAAAATGGAAAAGCTTGTCTTAGCGTTGGTAACTACGGCTAGAAGACTCAGACCTTATTTTCAGGCTCATATCATCGAGGTTCTAACAGAATAACCAATGAAACAAGTGTTGCATAAGCCAGAGTCTTCGGGGAGACTGATAAAGTGGGTCATAGAGTTTGACATCAGATTCAAACCTAGAACTATGGTCAAAGGTCAAGTTTTAGTAGATTTTGTCACGGAATTTATAACACCAGCGCCTATGGAAGCAACGTAGCTAGTACCTAACCTTCCTACATGGAAGCTCTCTGTGGATGGAGTTGCTAATGCTCAAGGAAGTGGCGCAGGCCTGATACTGACCTCTTTAGATGGGATAGATGTCAAATACGCCCTCAGGTTCGAATTCAAAGCTTCAAACAATGAGGCAGACTATGAAGCCATCATTGCCGGACTTAATCTGGCTCACTCGATGGAAACTGAGCAGTTGGAGATCTGCAGTGATTCCCAGCTGGTGGTAAAACAGATAGAGGAAGCTTATGAAGCTAAAGGCGAGAAGATGGTCCTTTACGTTAGAAAGGTGCAAGAGTTGATGAAGAAGTTCGTGCAAGTTAAGATT